CCAGCCTGGGTGACAAAGCAAGACTCTGCCTCAAAAACAAAACAAAACAAAAAGAAATGTGCGTATGTTCCCCAGCTCAGTGTTGCTTATTGGGGCGGAGTTGGGGGGGCGGGGGTGGTCTTTGTTTTTTGGGACTTGGCTCCCTAGCTCATGGCCCCAGCAGCTGAGAACGTCCTGTGAGACCCCCCAATCCCCCCGCCATGCATTGCCACGACAAAGTGTTGGGACCCTTGGGAATGTCCCTCCCCTGTGGAGGCAGACCCAGAAACCACTGATCCATGCCTCCTGTCTCCCCAGCTGAGGAGGCTGGGGAGAGGAAAGAGGTCAGGAACTGCAAATCTCTTCCCAAATTCTCTCACCCAGAGAGCCTGAAACATGCGGGCAGGAGGGGCTGGGCTGAAGGACTTGGGGCTGAGGAAGTGGTGGGACTTTTGGGGGATTGGAGGTGTCCCCAGGGAATGGGGCTATGATGGGTTCCGAGCCATGGAACAGCTCTGCATGTGGGTGAGGCTTCCAGAGTCCTAGGGCATGGTTCTGAGTCCCTGCTCCAGGCCCCGCAGTCCCCTCCAGGCTTACCATGCACGCCTGGGACCCAGCACTCTGCAGGCATTCACATCCGAACAGCCGGCCGGCCCCCGAGCAGTCCCCCTGAGAGGAAGCTAAAACAGGCAGCAAGTGATTACTGGAAAAGCACCCGGTAAACACTATGTAGTGTGGAAGGAGCAGTGGTCAGTTTCTGCATGTTGGCCTCAGTGCACAAGTGGTTGTTTGCATGTGTGCAGGTGTCCGGAGACACACAGGGTCCATTTGCACACACTGGCCATTGCTCAGTGACCATGTGCTTGTACGGTACACACTCATGTGCATGAAGACTGAACGCACAAACTGACCCAGTCACCGTGGATGGGCAGGAGCCCTCCAAATGCATCTTGAACTAGGGTTCAATCTGATGAAAACACAAAAACAGGGCTGGGCGTGGTGGCTCACACCTGTAATCCCAGCACTTTGGGAGGCCAAAGTGGGTGAATCACCTGAGGTCATCTGAGGTCAGGAGTTCAAGACCAGCCTGACCAACATGGTGAAACCCCATTTCTATTAAAAATACAAAAATTAACTGGGCAGGGTGGTGCACACCTGTAGTCCCAGCTACTTGAGAGGCTGAAACAGGAGAATCATTTGAACCGGCTAGGTGGAGGTTGCAGTGAGCCGAGATCGCATCACTGCACTCCAGCCTGGGCAAGAGAGTGAGACTGCATCTCAAAAAAAACACAAAAACCAAAAAACAAAACAAAAATAGGTTTATTGAACTAAAGAATACCTTCAGAAATAAAATGTTTAAAGCTTGTAATAGATTTAAAGCTTGAAAATATCTCATTTTCGTATCTATGACCATCAACGTGATCAAGGTGGTTTTTTGGAGAATGGAGCCTCTAAGAGTTTTTTGCTGAAAGATGGGTCTGGGAGCACCCTGTTCTGCTTTAAGCATTAAACTGGACCCTTCTTGGCCACTGCCTCCAGCCAGCCGCCTGGCTGGGGACCTTCCTAGGGCAGGATAATGCAAAATTCACTTTGGCCTCTGCTCTTCAAAAAGAATTCACTTTGGCCTCTGCTCTTCAAAAAGAATTTTGTTAACAACAACAACAAAATTTCTTAATAAAAATACAAAGCACTAACTCGGTTGGGCGTGGTGGTTCATGCCCATAGAGTCCCAGCTGCTCTTGAGGCTGAGGCAGGAAGATTGCTTGAGCCCAGCAATTTGAGGGTGCAGTGAGCTATTATTGTGCGGCTGCACTCCAGCTTGGGCAACATAGCTAGACCCCTGTCTCTTTTAAAAAAAAAAAAAAAAAAAAAAGGCTGGCTGGGCATGGTGGCGGGCACCTGTAGTCCCAGCTATTCTGGAGGCTGAGACAGGAGGAAATACTATATTCAGCCATCTAAATGTGTTGGAATATACTCAGGTTCAACAGACTATGCCCTTTTAATTTATAAAAAAAAAAAAAAAAATT